CTAGTGTAGGGACTCCATCAACAAAAACCAGCAGGTGCTCATGCAGCTCCTCCTCAGGCTCTGCGAACCAGTCTGTCTTCCTCTTCTGAACACAGGCCTGAGGTGCAAGGCTGGGTGCTTCCCATACGCCTGAGGAAAGAAACACACAGGTCCAGTGTGCAGGTTTGTCTTTGGAATTCAACCTTTGACTAACTCAAATCCTTCCTTCCATTTCAACCTCAAGTTTCTTCTTCTGTTGTCACCTTCCAAATGATTGTTCCTTAGCTGATCTCCATTTTAACCCAGTTTTCTTTGCTACCGTCCCCTCACACCATACATAGAAAGTATTATTTATATAGATTTTTTCAACTCCCCTCTTGATTGTTGGATCTCACCTCCTAACACCTGTCCTGCACACTAGGTTTTCTATTCTTTGCCCATCCTTATCCAACCTGCTGGCTTTTCTGTCTCCAGTCTTTACCATCCTAAGTAATCCTGACTCACTTCTTCTCTAGTCCTTCTTCCTTATGGTTTACACTCTCAGACAACTTTTGTCTCCCGCCCCCTCACCTGATGGTCCTGGGATCTCATCATCCTCTATCACTACCTCCACAGCATATTCTGGACAGATGGGCTGTGGACTCTGGTCCTCCAACTGGAAAGATGATTTGCCAGTGGCCATGCCTTCTCCCAAACCCCCTTAACACCTCCACAAAACAGACTCCTGTCTGTCCACAGTGTGCTTCAGTAATTTGGTCCAACTGAAACCACTGCTTATTCTAGAGTGAGGGCACAGACCACCAGTAGAGAACAGCGCTGAGAAGCAGCTGTTGAACACTGGGCTTCCAACCCCCACCAGGCATTTGAACCATCCAATCAGGAAGCTCGGAAGCCTCTGAGGTCATCAGACATTCTGACCTGGTAACCAGTTTGAAGGAAAACACATCAAACTGCCAGAATGGACACCTGAGATGTATGGCATCTCCTCTGTCCTCATCCTCAAGTCAATTGCTGGGCCCCTATATATATTCATATTTCCTAGAAATGGCCATGAGAAAAAGAACAGCATGGAAACCATAGACTTAGAGATGAGGCCAATAAAGAGCCTTCCTTAGAAGATGAAGTGAAAATATTGATTCTATTCCCAGAAATTCCTAGGGTAGTGTTAAGGGCCTGCCTCACTAAAGCAGAATACAAGGAATTGCACCTGGGGCCACTCAAACTGAAGACCAAAGTGGAAATTACTTGATGTGGGGGAAGATGATATCTAACATTTTGGTGAAAGAAATCATGTCCATTCTCTC